CATCCTGAATCTAAAAGAAACAAGAATGTTTAAAGTACAGGCCTTTTAAAAAAAAAAAAAAAAAAATCAGGTAATGCAGTATCTAACATCAGCATCTCATTTAATAAACAGCATTGAGTAAAAGTTCAGATTCTACTTAACTGTAACTAATGTGCAACTTAATGTATGTTTGTTTTGTGTTGTTGTTTTTTTTAAGTTTTTTTTTTTTTTAAGTTTTTTAGATGCATATCTACCAAAACAACTCAGTTATCTAATTTTAACGCAGTATCGCATCACTTCTTTTTCAAGCTAAACCCAAGCACAAATTCTAATACTGGGGTTTGATCAGCTAAGTTTTACATGGTTTATTTTATCTTAATTATGTTTCATAATGAAGCCAATCCAGTCTCGGTTGTCAGGTATCTTAGTGTAACTATAAATTGCTGATCCATCTGGGTTTAGCTTGCTGGCGGACACCACCCCATATGCCTTTCCATCTTCACAGACTAATGGGCCACCAGAGTCTCCCTGGAAATACAAGCATACAATACATTATGTAGTTACTGGACCATAACTAAGTGTAATCATAACAGCAAGCTGATTATCATTATTTACCAAACTTGTTAATTAATAAATTAATTTATTTATAGTAAAGGTTTAATAAAAAACACTTACTTGACCTGGGCCACCCTTGTCCTTTGAGCAGTACTTATTTTCCTTAACACACATCTCATTTTCAACCAGGGTTACATTGACTTCCAAAAGTTTGGGAGATGGGTGTTTGCTGTTTTCTGTACTTCCCCAACCAGAGACTATGCATGATTTTGGCGATCTATCATCACGGTCTGCGAGATCAATAGGTTTCACATTCTTGTTTAACACTGCCTTGGTGCTCAACTTCAGGAACAAAGAGAGATAAAAATGTTATTTAATGCTGTTTTGTTAAATTGAGCAAAAATGATAAGAAACCACATTTAGGATGATAACACTGTAAAGTCTGTCATTAAATATTATTTTAGTTTATTTTACCTTCAGAAGCATTATGTCATTTTTCAATTCAGCTTCATCATAGCCTTTCTGTGGAAATGCATTTTCCCCAGGCACATTCACATGCTGTACTTCATTCTGCTTGTTGTAATTATGAAGTCCCAGAAAGACTCTGTAGGACCTGAAATAAAATGAGTGCAAACAATTTTCAGACATTTAAGTTAGCTGTCCCCAACCCCTGGGCCACGGACCGGTACCGGGTCGGGTGTGAAATGCACGTTTGTTTGTTTTTTTGTTTTTATCGTTAACTTGGTTTCCCTGGGTCTTTTCAAATGTGTTATATATATATATATATATATATAGGTACTGGTTCCGGTTTTATTTTGTTGTATTTATCCGCAACACCTTAAAGGCCGGTCCGTGAAAATATTGTCGGACATAAACCGGTCCGTGG